ACTGTTTTTATAAACACTGATAATTTGTGTTTAAATTAAGGCTCAAATCATTTTACATTCATTGTTTAAACTCTTATATATTTTAAATTAATGATGTCAATAAACAACTCCAGAAGAGATAAAAAAAAAACCAAACAGGTTTTCTGCCAAATCTACTGTAAATAAATATACAGACGTCCATAAGTGATTAAACCCTGACTCCTAATGACGCTGCTGCCAGGTGCTGTTACAGGCAGCAGCTGAGGGGAAACAGATCCAGTTGGACCGGAGCCCAGTGGTAGAGCCGGTCTCCAAGGCACACAGTGGCGGCCACTTTGTTCAGTGTGATCCAGAGGTCAAATGTCAGGGGCAGGTGTTCTCCGTCAGTGTTAAGGACGATCATTTATTTAAACATTTTTTCCCTGTTTATCCTGACTTCTGTTTTACGCTCTCGGTACAATGTTGTGCTGATCCAGCAGTTTTTTTGTTTTTCACTGAAGCTCCTGTTACCTGATGGGTGGGGGCGCAAGCTGTCAGGTCTGATTTCCTTGGGTGTCCTCCAATCAGGGTGGGCTATCGATCAATCCATCACTACAGCACACGGGGCTGGTTCAACCTGCTGCACGTTATGTTACACCAACACACACACACACACACACGGGAGAGGAGTGGTGGTGGGGTATCTGGTGCAGCGGTGGGACCTTGGTTTGTCGGTGTCAGTGATGGATCAGGCCGGAGTCTCAGCGGTGTTGGCTGTTGCAGGAGTGTGTTCTCCACCACTGGGATGTGTCAGAGCGTTTTTGCTGCATCCACAAAATTCTGCTGCGAGAAAGAAAAACCCATTGACAAAAAAGTTGAGACACTTGGTCAGTGAGAGCGTTTTAACACGGAGGTGATATTTTCACTGAAGTGTCCACATGTTGAGCCACGTCTCTGTGGCGTCTTCAACAGCTTTAAAATAGGCTTGACTTCAACCAAGATCAAGATCAAATATTTAAAGCTAAGGTTCAAATTGCAAGAATTTTTCCAAAATTCCTGCCGTTTGTAAAAAAAAACAAAAGCTGAATTAATTTCATTAATTAAGATACTTTTTTGAATTGTCTTAGAACTTAATGACTGTGCCCTCGAATAAACGCAGATCTGTCATTTTTTGACACATCAAACTCGGGTGTTCAGATTCTACGGTTCTGTCTGGTCCAATCACGTTCATCCACAGCCTATTTATAGCCAATGATACTCACGTCATTTGGCTAATTTTGCCCAGACTGTTTACCCGGGTTGTTCAGTCGTGGTTTAACGTTACTGGATTTTCTGTCATGTTTGGTAAATACTGACTGAATCGCACTTCTTGTCCTCGGGCCTTGGCTTTTTGAAGTTGCCGATTTTGCGAGTTTGCTTAAGAAATGCGTCGAATGCCTTCAAGTACAAGTAATGTTTGACGGTGAGCCTCGCTGTCTACGGTCGTTAAAGTGGACTTGGATTCGACATCGTGCACTTCATTTGTTTTATCTCTTTATCACAAGCAGAGAGAGAGAGAGAGAGAAAAAAAAACAGTTTCAACCTGTGATGTAAGACGATGTTAAAGAAGAAAGAAACGACTTCCCGCGGTTCGCCTGTCAAATCGTCCTTCTGTCAGACCAGCATACGTATTTAGCATGCTTCATATAGGTGCAACGTCGCCCCCATTAGCAGACATTGGTGCAGATTTTGTTTTGAGCGCGGATTCAAAAGAGCTGCGGAGAGCAGGTTTGATGCCACAGATATTTGAAAAGAACGGGCCTTTCATCTGAGGGGACACTTTGCATTATTCATGTTGTGCCTTCTGAGAGATGAGGAGAGAAGGAAATAGAGACAAAGACATGGAGTTATTGTATTTTTTACCAGCAGTCAATGGATTCCTGTTACATGAAGGCAAATTTATTTTCGGTCCTCTCCTTGCAGTTGTCTGTGTGTGTGTGTGTGTGTGACTAAATACCACTCATATTTCATTCCACATTTGCTCCTGTTATAGGTACAGTGAAGAAGAACGCAGCTATTGGATGGCTGTCGATGTGCTGCTTCAGCACCGTACTCATGTGTCTGTCTGTGCTCCTTTGTCTCCAGCGTGCCGGGCCGGCTTCTACAAATCTGGGCTGGGGAACGTGGAGTGTTCAAAGTGTCCCCCTCACAGCTTCTCTCATTATGAGGGTTCGTTGCACTGCGGCTGTGAGAAAAACTACTTCCGTGCCGAGGGAGACCCCGCCTCCATGGCTTGCACCCGTGAGTATACGTGCCACTGACGCTCCGTGTGACCCGTGTTTGTGTGTCGTTTCAAGGAACTCTCAGATGATTCAGGTTCCTCCTTGACCTGGACTGACCCCTCACATATCTGACAGGAGAAACCCAGCTCTGAGAGCAGAGAGTTGTGGGAGGATTTTTTACTCATTATCCCAAAAAACATGCACGGAAACCTTGTCTTATCCGTTTTGCTCCGAATACTTACAGATGTTTTCGTTTTCATCCTCGATCACTTTGTGTTCTCGCAAATCTCATAACGCAAAACACTGTTGACGGTAAATATATTAAATGAAAACACTGTCTACCTGCGGCAGAGCTCTGAATATTAAGAGCTGGAAGAAAAAAAAAAAAATATATATATATATGGTAAGAGCTTCAATGGCCGTTTAATTTCAGTCTCCATATTCAGTTCCCATTTTATGGCCTAATGCTGTTATTTCAGTGTGTTATTCCCCCATTCAGCAGTTAATAGCATAATAATAGACAAAGGACGTAGTATTACTCAAGTGTTTAAAGGTCAGTGAAGCCCTACACACTTCTCCTTTGTCTGCATCTGATGCAAATGGACTGCAGATGCAGTTGCCTCCTGCAAATCTTCCGAGATGGAGTCTCTATAAAACCATAAATCACCAGAATCCCTGATGTCATATTATGGATATATCCCTCACTAAGGGGTTCTGGGGGGGAAACAGTTTTTTTTTCTAAGTGTGTTGAGAAGAGTTGAAAATACAAATCGACGCCCACAGCTACAGACAGACTCCTAATTAGACAGACGGTCGTAGCAGGTCCCTGTTGTGATTATCTCAAAGACATCCTGTCAACGAGGCAAATTCTTCCTCATTGGAGCAGATTGAGTGATGCAAGGGCTGCGAGTGAACAGATAAGTTGTTAGGAGATAATGATCATGATTATCTCGGGAGAGGGACCGGGCTGTGAGTGGAGCGAAAGGAAAAGCTCAGGATGACGGCGTAAACAAACACTGGCCAATGAAAACGCGGGCAGGATAATGAGAATACTGCACTCGGGGTGAACGTGAACGTTCCTGTTTCTACAAGGTATTTCCTGCTCTATCAATCATGATAGCGTTAGCGTTACCTTTAAATATAAAAAATAGCCAAAAATCATTCATTCAACCAGCTGAATAAACCAAATAAATCGCTGTAGTCGATGAAAAATAATACGTTAATTTCCTCCATAAAATTGTATCGTTTCACTGGATTGTTGGAAATGAGCACTCCATAAAATTGTTTCGTTTCACTGGATTGTTGGAAATGAGCCTGGTTATACAAGGGGTCCTCACTGTCTGAGACCACCAAAACTGATGACGTTTTTTAAATTTTTAAGTTTAACAAATGACAAATTTCACGACCCCCCTTTAGAACCTCCACCCCCATGTTGAAGACCGCTGTTCCAAACTGTTAATCTCATCATAAATGTCTGGGTAAAAATCTGTTGTTCTGTCCAACATTTTATCCTTGTTTCTTTTCATATTGACAACTTGGTATTGGCTCCAGCCCAAAGCCCCCAGACTCGACCCCCCCCCACCCCCACCCCCCCCCCCCCCCCCACCCCCCCCACCCCCACACTTATTGACGGTTGGTGAATGGCCGTCTGCGGACTTCCCCGCTGATAAACAGAAGGCTGGGGAGCGTCAGGTGTTGTCGTCTTTTTGTGTCTGATTGGAGATAACAAAATGTTCTGTCATTTTTCTCTATTATTTTGGACATTAAAGGTCCAGTCTGTCAGTATCATGTCCAAACACGTGATGTCAGATTGTAGTGGTGAAAACCATGACAGAGAAAAATCCCTGACTTTATCCTGAGATACAGTCCATATGCTGAGCTTCACCGTCTATTGTGATTTTAATAAGCAGTAATGATTAGTGAGTGACAATGCTGAGCTCAGTCTTTTATATTTATGAGCCGCGCCGAGTAATTAGTTGTGAAAGATGTCCTGATTATAAGGAGGTACACTTCCTGTGTACTTCAAACACTGCCAATTAAATTGATTGACAGTAACGGGAGGTGGAAGTCTCCTTGATGTGGAAACTTTTTAATGTTTCTGAGGAAACCAGGTTGATTGTATCGGGATGTCTTTGATTCTCATTGGACGGAATGTGAGGGAAACAAATACAGTACTAATATGTACTTTCTAATGTGTAATGACTACTTACAATATACTGTGTACTTAATCTGACATGTGGGCAGATTAGATCAGTAATCCAGTGATCTATGCAAGGCAGTTCCGATCAATCAGCGCTCCCTTAAGGTTGCACCCAGCCTTAGCAGAAAATCTACTATTGTTACATTTCCTAATCAATGTTTTATACATGTATTTAATTTGACATTTTTTTCTCTTTAATTAGCAGCATATGCATTGCACTTTTTTTTAAATATCTTTAATTAGCAGCATATGCATTGCACGTCACGGTTAGCGGTTAGCCATGTGCAGAGCAGCGCTGGAGCTAAACAGCAGCTCCTGCTTTTTTTGTAATAACAGCAGTAAAAAAAAAAAAATGGCTCTGGTTTTCCTCCAGAATCCACACAACTGCTTGACTCAGCTCCACTTACATACTCTGAGAATGAAAAATTGTACTTCCTTCACCCTTGTGTTGGCTAAGCACACTTATAGGTATTTTTTAACAGTTCTCTGTTGCCTCTTTTTCACTGTTTTAAGATTTACACTCTTCAGGTTGAGAATACAGATAGAGTCTTAGAGTCAGAGATTTATTCAGACATTAAAACGTCTTCAGGAGCCTTTAATAGGATTTATGACACTGTAGACTTTTAATCTTTTTGTGTGTGTTTTTCTTTTTCTTTTACTTTTTTTTCTTTCTTGCACAAACACAGTAAAAGGCTGCGAAGGCCCATTACACAAGATACGAGCTCTGCATAGTTCGGCGGTGAAGTAAATCCATGACAAGTCCAACAAACCAAACAAGGCATTCCATCTCGAGGCACATTTGAGTCGGTTAATTTCACTTTCTTTCCCTCCGCTCCAGCGGCGTTATTTTGGCAGTTTGTTTTGCCCTTCGTGTAATTGCAGCCACAGTCACAGCTTTGATGTGAAAATCTGGAAATGTTCACAGAGGTCTGTTAGTGATAGAATGCATTGACTTTTATATGACGGTCGGACTCTGACAGTGCACTCCTCTGGAGGAGGATTTGTCATGCCCCGTTCTCATCTGAACATTTTGAGAACATTTGTTAATACCGTACAGACTGCTCTTAACTCATCCCTGCTATTATCACAGCAACACCAAATGAGAGACGGTGTTATATGAAATCTAATCCATCTTCTATTGACCCATCGTAGCTCAACTTCCTAATTTTCTTAGACTTCTGTACCAAACATGTTGGGTTTTTTTTCTTTTGTTGTCCAGGTCCACCGTCAGCCCCTCGAAATGTGATCTCCTCCATCAACGAGACCTCCGTTATCCTGGAGTGGTCTTGGCCAGAGGACGGCGGCGGGCGCAGGGACATCACATTCACCGTTGTTTGCCAACGCACACCAACTACACCTTCGAGATTGAAGCCAAGAACGGCGTGTCGTCGATGGCGCCCAGGATGAGGCAGTACGCAGCGGTCACCATCACCACCAACCAAGCTGGTAAGAACCGACACTTGATAGCAACCTAGCTGACTAGACCAGCTGTGATTTAGTCATTTAACGTTGTTTGTCTGGTTCATAAAAAAGGTTAAATTAAATTAGCTTAAACATTTGCACTCATTTTGAGGGATGAGGAAAATGACACTCACTGTATAAACAATGATTCCACCATTGGTCCACTCATCAGTCTAACAAACAGATGCACGTGTTGTTATTTACACATACTGTGGGGAGGCTTAAAATACTACAGCTACATAATTATTTTACTTTAGAAAAACCCTAGCAAATCTTGTTTATTGAAAGAAAAAAAAATCACTCCTCACACCCGTACATCCACATTTGGAATATTCTGATTTATCTGGAATATTAATATTTTATTAAATACTAATATGAAGTGACATTCAGAGAACGTTCCCTCACAAAATGTGGCACGACTTCGTGCCTAATATCCCTCAGATTTACTGTCGGCTATAAGATCAGACACCAGGGGGGAGTGGTGGGGCAGGGGGTGTGGGGGGCAGGGGGCGGTTAATGGCACTCATGCATGAGTAATACACTGACCTATAGTTTATGTCCTTCAAACACATGCACCCTAACCATCAACACTGGACATTTACAAGATGATCCCAGGCTGTTAATATCTCCTTTACTGGTGAGGATCAGATGTCGGCCTCGAAAGAAAAACAAAGAGAGAAAGATCCCTGTCTTTGAGTGACACTCATCACCAGAGTGAACCTCTGAATTTCCCATTAATCTGTTTTTACTTTATTACAAACGTCTCAGTGCTCGTCCGTGTAGATCTAACGGGAACACGAGGGCCAAGAGAAGCGGCGCTGAGAAATTCCAAAGAGTGAAATAAATCTCGCTGCAGAAGAAAGTGCCAAAACCTCAGAAATACCTGACTCCAGCGAGGAATGTGCAAAAGTCTGCCTGTTGTTCATCAGTTTGTTTCCTTCCCCTCTTGTGTTTTCTTTACAATTCGCCTTTGTGTTTGTTCATCAACTTTTTTTATGTTGGCAGCTCACCATATTTCTCCGTTTGCCTGCTCCGTTATTATCCCTCGTTGGTATTCGTCGCCATTTCTCTCTTCACATGACCCATTATTTCCATCTGTCACTGTCACAAACTGAAACAACAAAAGTTCTCACTTATTTCTCTGGTGGACTTTTTTGTTCCAAATCCTGAATACAGATGGGCTTTCCTCATAAGAGTTGTCACAAAGGAAACCTAAACAATATTTCACAGCTAACGATGAAAGGCGCAGAGAGGCGGCGGGTTCTCAAACACTGAGCTCACGCAAGTAAATCGCACACATATTGGATAAATATATATATAAAAAAAACAGTGTTGATTTAGAATTAAACAGTAATGAAACAGGAAGTAACGTGGGGCTGGTTGACGATAACGATGAGGGATTTGTTATTGTCGGAATATGAGCATGTTGACAAAAAAATATTTACGATTTTATGAACCTGATAAACCTGTGAAAACCGTTACGATTTTATGAACTTATGAACCTGATAAACCTGTGAAAACCTACAAAAATATGTTTTTATTTGAATATAAACAAGTGTGTCCAACTTCCCACTACTTTAGTGATCATCAACTGTGGGCTTGCGGACCAAATAAAGCCCACTGAACCATCCAATCCGGCCCACAACTGGGATTTAAAATAAATATATAAATAATAATGTTGGACAAAAATGTGATTTTTTTAAATTAATTTTATTTGCGTGTCCACTCCGTCGGGACAAATATAGTTGGTGATCCTTGGACTAGTGAAACAATGTAATAAAACAGAAGAAAGTCTATGAAAATACCAGTATAACACGATGCACATGTATGAGACTAATATACAGTTGAATGAGGACTGACATGTAGACTGTGCAGAGGAAGTCTGGTGTCTGTTAATAAAACTGGGCCGCGCTCCACGTCATGTACAAAGTCACTTACTACTCACAAGGACTGAAGGCTGCGCACGGCCGTGTCCTGTTCTGATGTAGAGTCAATATCAAGAACAGAACACACGTGACACGTGTCATATCGTGGGAACACGAACAAACACACGTCTGGCTTTTATAGTGGGAGACAAAGGCCACAGAATATGGACAAGAGAGAGAGTTAGTGATTACGTTTACTAAAAGTTTCTGAGTTTTCTGGCGGCGTCATTTCAGTTCATGATAATGGAGTAAATTTAATGAGAAATTTGAATTTAAACTCACACACACACACACACCTGTGCCTGTGCCGCAGCGGCTGGAAACTGGATTGTGTGTTTTCCTGGGACGGAGCTGTCAAGGTGCTGTCAGTTGGTGGCGCTCCTCCTCTTTTCCCAGTAACACTGTTGCTCATTGTCATAACAGCGCTGACAACCAGAGAACTGTGATCCAAATGTAGTCTAACGCCACATTCAGAGGTTTGGTAGAAAGATGGGCAAATAAATCACATTTAATGACCACATTTATAAACACTTAAAGTCAAAGTTAAGGGAAAACATGTTATTTCACTTGTTATTGATATTTACTCACTTATTTACTAACGACACATAAATGATAATAATGACAATGTTGTATTTATTTATTTAAGTATTTATTTATGATTTGAATATCCTGCTCAATCTTTTTTCTTTCACTGCTGCCTCCATCAGTTTTGCTGTATAATTTCTAACTCCAATCCGAGTGGCCTTTACTGAATTATATATATATTTATTTATTTATTTTTTTTGGACTGTGCCTGTGATAAAGATAAATACATGTGCCTGAATAAACGAAAATATTTATCAAAATTTTAATGGGAAAAAAAAGAAAAGAAATGATTATCATGCCTGTGATACAGATAAATACATGTGCCTGAATAAACAAAAATATTTATCGAAATTTTAATGAGAAAAAAAAGAAAAGAAATTATATCATGTAAACAGATGTCGTAACAAAAATGATATTAGATTTTTTTAACTTTTACAATTTTAGATTAGATTAGATTTAATTGAACTTGAACTGATGCTACACTCGGAAAATTCCAAGTTACTAATAAGTTACAGTGAACATGAAAGTTTCTGAAAATGACATAATTTCTTTCTTTTTTTCTTTTTTTTCAATACATTTCACATACATATCCCACCTCCTCAAACCACGGTTGTCAACATTGGGTCAGTGTCTGGTACTAAATGTAAGTGTAAACCTCTGGTGTTCACAGGTAAATGACCCTGAAGGTTTAAGACTTTAAGACCATCCTGAGCCTGGTGGTCTGCGTTAGTTTTACAGTCAGAGAAACAGAGAGAGAGAGAGAGAGAGAGAGAGAGAGTGACAGAAATGAAGTGCTCGCTGCTGGAAACGCAGGGAGCAAGAAGGAGGTGGGCAAGGAGTCCTGCAGGAACCAGGGAGGAGGAGAGGAACTTGAAGCTGCCTGGGAGCAGCCCAGACCCAGTAAATCATGACCACCATAAACCACAGCGCCAATAAAAAGCACGGCCTCACCCGGCTATCAGAACCAGAGGGAGAGGAGGAGAGGAGGAGCAGGGTGTATAGAAACAGATTCTCTCCATCTGGATTCATTACAGAAGAAGAAAATAACTTCCCGCTGAAATACGCACACACACACACACATACACACACTACGTAGCCATATAATCACAATCAAGAAAGGCTCGAACATTTCAAAGACAAACATGTTTTTCCTGTGGTCTAATAAAATTAAAAGTCGATGCCTTAGATGCCGGGTTGGCCCCGGAGCTGCCTGGCAATTAGAGAGCAGTAAAAAAGGGAAATGGGAAAGGGAGTGAAGAAAGAGACAGAATGAGGGAGGGGGACGGGGCTCGATCCAGGGAGGGATGTGCTGAATTACTAGATTGGGACCATGTGAACTCCCCGAGGCTACGGGATGTGTAGATGAAGGATGGGTGAGGAAGATTGGCCGGGGGAGCGAGCACCAAACTGAGAGAGACGTGAGCAGCAGGCACAGAGACGGCGCACAGGCTCCCAAGTACAATAGATAACATTATTTTAAAAAGCAGTGGCTCAGACCACGGTGAGGATCAACCCACTGTGGTGGGAGTTTTTTAAGAAGAATAAAAAAAAAAATCAGGAGCTGCTGAAGGGTTTGTGTGAAGCTCAGTAAATGATTTAATAGAGTTTTTTTTTTTTTTTTACCAGCTCTGAAACTGCAGTTGATGGCAGCTGGTTTAACAGAAATGTTGAAAAGAATAAGGCAAAAATTAAGCTGTAACAAATGTATGAATGTGTCGGAATGTTTTAATTTTTTTTTCAAATGTAATCGTCAGATGTTAGAACACTGTTTCCCAAACTTTTTTTTCTGGGGACACATATTTTTAAAAATTCACAAACCTTCGCGACCCAAGTCGAGAAACATTATTCGTAAACTCCTAGGAAACATGATGCGAAATGATCCGAAAAACTGTATCTTATGTTGTGACTGACCTAAGGGTCGCGACCCAGTCTTTGGGGAAAAATGTATCTTATGTTGCGACCCACCTGAGGGTCGCGATGAAAAACTGTATCTTATCTTGCGACCCAGTCTTTGGGAAACAATGCTGCATTTCTTAAAAACAAAAAAAAAACAAAAAAGAATTTAAATGCAGATTGTTTGGTCAACCTTAAGTGTGTGTCAGTCCAAATTTATTCTTTGCATATGGTCTGTTTTTTTTATTGTTTTCCAAAAAACAAGCCAACGCCGCAGTCTTTAATTCAGCCCCACTCGGCTTCAGCAAACTGAATCAAACAGGAACCATAGACAAGTGCCAGGATTCAGTGCTGGGGAATGAACTTCCACTGAACCACTGAGTATAAAGAAACTCTCTCTCTCTCTCTCTCTCTCTCACCCCCTCTGTACCTATGTCTCTCATCCAGCTCCTTCGTCAGTAACCTTGATCAAGAAAGAGAAGACGTCTCGCAACAGTGTTTCATTGTCCTGGCAGGAGCCGGAAAGACCCAACGGCATCATCCTGGACTATGAGATCAAATACTACGAAAAGGTCGGTCTGCCATTTCCTGTTCACCTTTTTAAAACTTCAAATCAGAGAAAAAAAAACCAAGTCACAAACAAACCCACTTTTCATCATAAACTTCAGTACCTTAAGTACTGTTTAAGAGCTCCTCCATCATTCATTGTCAACAAAGAATACAAATACTGCAGTGTGTACACACAAATACCCAGGGATTTTTGTTTTTTCCAGTTGGGAAAAACACATCTGAAGCTGATGTTGTTGATTTGATTGTCTGTCTGTCTCCAAAACCAACACAAAGTCAATATGTACTGTATAAATAACTGTAGCCTGTGGCTTAGTGGTTAAACGGATTGGACTTGGTTCGATGCCTGCCCTGGCAGGACTGTGGCGTGTTGAGCAACGACCAAAACTCCCTCGCTGCTATTGTGCTCTAAGAACGTGTCTGGTAATAATTACTGCAGTATTTATTGATGGGTTTAGATGCAGGGAGTACAGTACAGTACTTCACGGAAATGAAGCCGCACCGTGCATGAGCCGCGCCCCCATGGTTGTGCTCAATAGGTGTTTAAAAATGTTTTTTTAAAATATGATATATATTTATATGTTTTTTGTCGAGCAGCAGAATGGTAGGCGGAGATTTATTTTGAAAACACAAGTGCTCCCTTATTAGGAGATTTATGGCCTGACTTTTGCGATGATTGATTTATAGGTTCTTAGCTGCGTCTTGGTATTTTTGTATTCACAGTTTCAATACGTATATACACAGTGTATATACAAATATGGTATTGTCACCTAGTGGAACAGAAGAGAATTGAAAGTAAAATAAAAAAATATTTTTAAAAATTGTATCATCAAATAATATTATAAATTTTGGTCACCCAGTTTTTTTCCCCATCACTTAAAGTCAGAATTACCATGATTAAAAAATACATTTTAATTTTTTTTTTCTTGTTGGTTTTTTTTGGTTTTCGATAATCGGCAGAAAACAAATATAGAATAAAATTCACTACTTATCTACTTATCTACTTATGTGACATTTCATATTTTAATATCTTCAAACAGATTAGGTTGTATGGCAGAGGCCCTGAACCCCCCGGAGGTCTGCAGAGGTACTGCGAGATTGGGAAATTTTGGTTCATTAGAAATTTAATATAAATTGAACTTTTATTGAACAGTTCAGTACTTAATGCAAACCAACAAGGTACTATTATCCATGGTACTTTGCCCAGTTTAATATAGAACACAGTATAATTTGCAGTACAGTGGGGGTCCAGGCTCAGTTCCCTCATCAGTTCGAGGCTCCTTCAGCTAAAAAAAAAACTTCAAAAATAAAATACTGCAAAGTCAGATTCTTTCCAATTTAAAGCACCCCCCCCCCCCCCCCCCCCTGAACTCAATTTACAATCATTCATACATTCCTCCTCCTCCCCCCTCTCCTCCCCTCTCCTCCCCTCTCCTCCCCTCCCCTCCCCTCTCCCCCC